AGCCTTGAGGCGGCGGGTGGAAGAGTGAGGCCGTTAGGATGGGCCTCGAGAAGCGAGCTCGGAGACTTTGGTAGTGAGGGCGGGCCTGGAGTGTCAGGGCGGGCCTTGGGGGCGGGCCTGGAGTGTCAGATCTCGGGGGCTGAACCCAGGGGGCGTGTCCGGAGTGTTAAGCCGCGTGGGCAAGGCCTAGGGAGGCGGGCCTGGAGTGTCAGGCCTCGGGGGCGGGGCCTCAGGAGCGTGTCCGGAGTGTTAGGCCGCGGGGACCGGGCCTAGGGGGCGGGTCTGGAGTGTCAGGCCTCGGAGGCGGGGCAGAGGGAGGCGGGGGAGGCGGGCCTGGAGTCTCAGGCCTCGGAAGGGGGCCTAGGGGGCGGGCCTGGAGTACCAGACCTCGGGGGACTGGGCCTTGGGGGCGTGTCCGGAAGTTAGACTTCGGGGGCGTGGCCTTGGGGCGTGGCCTAAGGACGGGCCTGGAGGGCTAAACCGCCGAGGCTGGGCCTACTGGAGGCAGAGCAGATTGGGGAGCGTCTCGAGGCGGCTAGGGCAGAGGGGAGGGAACAGGACCGGAGTAGGCAGGGCTTCGAAGAACTGGCTTCGGAAGTAAGGCTTTGGGGGCCGGGCCTAGGGAGAGAGACCTCAAGGATTAAGGCGGAGGGCCACGCTCCAGGTGGCGTCTGACTTTCCCAGACGGCCTTAAGTAGCAGGTAGAGGGCTTTTCTTCGAGTGCCCTGGGAAAGGAAGAAGTATTGAAGAGTAGGCGAGAGCCTGGACCGACTCTTGGTGCAGATTCTCCCAGGACGTCCATGTCCTGGCTCTATCACTTACTAGCTGAGTAGTCCCGAGCTTCGGTTCTCTCATTTAATAGTTTCCTCCTCAAGTGGTGGCTGTGAGAAGAGGATAGATTAGGAAATTCACAGAAAGGCTCACACAGCGCGCGAAGCACTTGGGAAGCACTTTTTAAAAATGGGAGCTGGGAACTAGCAGATGGTGTAACGGTTACATCGCTGGACTCCCACGTGGTCTGCTGCGGTTCCAGTCCTGGACCCAGAGACTTGAAACTCACGCTGGGAGACAGGTGCATGCCCCAAATCCCAAGAGGAGAATGGAAGAGAAGGGATTGCCGGTGGCCATCTTCCCGGGGGGAGGGGGGTGATTCACTTTCTGTCCTCTTTGTCTCTCCATTAAGTGCTCACATCCTATACCAAAAATTTCTCTTAAAAAAAATGAAAGCTGCTACTAGTGGTGTTGGTGATGCAGGCAGTGAGGATTACCTTTACATTGTCAGAGTTGACGAAACCGGCTGCTAGTGAGATATTAGGATCCTTTTCTCTGGAGTTATTCAAGCAGGGGCTGGGGATTCACATGTGGGGATGCTATGCAGAGGCTTCTTGCCCTGGGCTGTGGGGGTTAACACTTTGCTTCTTTTGTGATGGCCTGGACTTGACTTCCATGTAGCCATGGATGGTTGAGCCTGTACCCTTGGACTGACTGCATCAGACATTGTGGGAAGAACCAGAGACAGAGGGTCTCTGCCCTCAGGAAACAGCCCTCAGGGCCCCTGGAGTACTGAATGGGAAGCTGGAGGCTCTCCTTACAGCTGGCTGGATAACTTGGACAAATCTGACCCGTTTCATATCTCAAATGGGCTTAATTACGGTCAGCTCCAGGGATGAGGGGATATCTAAAGGATAACAGACGGAGAAATGTTTACAGAAGCCTTCTCAGTATTAAGGCAGTGCTTCTCCATGGTCAATGGCAATGGATAACTGTTAGGAATGCATCTTATAGGGGGTTCCCTGAAGACTGGATAGGTCTGAAGTGGACCGAAGAATCTGTATGTTAACTTGGACCACATCTGACAATGTGTAAACAAAGCACTAATTTTTAAAAAAAGAATTCTTTATATTTATTTTAATTTTTTTAAAATTTTACCAGAGAGGGACAGAGTGTGTGTGTGTG